CTCTCTCTCCTTCCTTCCTTCCTCCTCCCTCTTTCTCCTCCCTCCCTTTTTCCTTCCTTCCTTCCTTCCTTCCACCCCACTCCCTTCTAGCACTGATGACGTTTCCTCATTGGGTCATGAAACGCCTGCAAGGAACCCACCAGTCTGAGAAGAGCACCCAGGACCCCATTTCCCCCCCTCTACCTGACACCCAGAGGGAGCCGAGCCGAGCCCCTTACCGCTTCTTCCAGACTCTGGACGTCGGGGTGATCGTTGGCCGTGTGCCGGAGGATCTCCTTCAGGAGGAGGGGGTACTTGACCAGGCGACTGCGAGGAATGTCCAGGAAGCTCCAGAGGTCCAGCTTGCGGCTGAAAGGAGACTCCAGGCAACGCTGCAGGAAGTCCTGGACACGGGCGTCCTGCTTCTTCTGGTCCAGGAGGGCTTTGGCTGCCAGCTGGTTGCTGCAATAGGCCTTGTAGGCGTTCAGCCCGGGGAGCTGGGGAAGGAGAGAAGGCCCTGCTGGTTAGAAGGAGCGGCCTTGGCTGCAGAGGGAGGGACCCTGGCTCTTTCTCTACCTGGGGCCTCGCACGTGAAGCCAAGCCCCTGCCCAAATTTAGGTGGAGGAGGAGGAGGAAGAGGATGGGAGGAGGAATGGGGGCAGGAGGGAGAAGGAGAAAGAAGAGAAAGGAGCAAGAGGAGCAGAAAAAAAAACAGAAGAGGAGGAAGGAGGAGACAGGGCAGGAGGAGGAGGATGGGAAGGAGGAAGGGAGGAGAGAGGAGAAGAAAAAGAGAAAGGAGGAGGGGGAGAAGCAGGACAGAGGAGGAGGAAGAGAAAGGAGAGGAAGAAGAGGAAAAGGAAGGGAGAGAGGAGGAAGAGAGGGAGGAAGAGAAAGAAGAGAAAGGAGGAGGAAGAGAGGAAGAAGAGGAAGGAGGAGAAGTGGAGGGGCATGAGGAGGAGGATGGGAGGAGGGAGGAAAAAGGAGGAGAGAAAGGAAGAAAAGAGCAGAGGAAGAGGAAGGGGCTCTTAATGAAGAAAGTGAGCTCAGGGTTCTAACTATTCTGCATTCTTTTTTTTTTTACCAACAGGGATCGGGTCCCCACAGGAAAAAAAAGGGCCATGAAAGGGAGACCCAGCTGGAAGACGCGTTAGGTGGTGTGGATTGCAGTCTGGATTCCCAGGAGGGAAGGGCTGTGTTCCAGAGGACCAAGAGATGGCAAACTTTAGATCGGACGGCTAGTAGTAATGCAGCCCCCCACAAGGCCGTCAACTTTTAACCCTCTTTATATCTAGATATACCGTACAGCACATTAGCGGGATTATGTGTTCTATATGCGGCCCAGGACAATCCCTCTTCACGCAATGCTGTCCAGGCGAGCCGAAAGGTTGGACGCACCCGGTTCAGATAGTTTGGGAGGAAGAGATTTAAAGATGGCTCTTCCCTAATTCTCGGAGTATTGTGTTTAAGGATGCAAGTAGTGGCTTTAGTTCGGCAAGATTCAGACTATCGGTTCTGGGATCTTAACGGATCAGCGGGACGGGGGACAAAGTCACAATCTGTAAGCCAACCGGAGTGGAGGGAGGTGGATTATTGTTTTTAAAATTCTTTTTATTATTATTATATATTTCTTGTTTGCAAGCTGCCTGCAGTCACTGAGAGTGAGTGGGTGGCAGGTAAATCTTCTCCATAAATAAATAACTAAACCGAGCAGAAAGGCCAGAGAGATCTGGAAACCGAATAAAACTGTGAATAAAATAATGACTGGCGGGAGGAAAGGATTCACTCACCCATTCCACAAGAATGGGTCCGATTTGTTCCACCGACCCATCCGGCCGGGTCACCTGCCCCAGTTTTTCCAAGAAGTCTGTAAGGGAAAGGCGAAAAAGGAGAATTGGCAAAAAGGCACACGCGTGGAGAGATTCAGTCAAGCCCTCTCAAGAGAAATGGAACTTTTTACATTTTATTTTATTTTTAATTTTAAACCTTTATTGAAATTTGAAACATTAAAATACACAAGTAAATGTAAAAATAAATAAATAAATAAAACATTTGCACCAAGACAAAATCCTTGTGGGTCCAATCACACTTGGCCTATAAAGAATTCTATTCTATTCTATTCTACTTCGTTCTGTTCCATTCCATTCCTTATTCTCTCTTCTCTTCTCTTCCCTCTCCTATTCCATTCCATTTCATATTTTCTATTCTATTCTATTCTATTCTATTCTATTCTATTCTATTCTATTCTATTCTATTTTCTCTATTTTATTCTCGATTCTATTCTATTCTCTATTCTACTCTACACTACTCTATTCTATTCTTATTCTATTCTACATTCTCTATTGTATTCTATTCTATCCTCTATTCAATTCTATTCTCTATTCTACTCTTTTCTCTATTCTATTCTATTTTCTATTCTTATTCTTATTCTATTCTGCTCAATCTCCTTCAACCATCCATATCTTGGAAGATAAAATTGAATGTGAATAATTTTATTTGGCCAAACACAAGGAATTTATCTCCAGCAAAGAAACACGATCATACCAATGAAAGGAAAGGGGAACTGGGGGTGTTTAAAAAAGATAACAACGATCAATGATAATAAATAATAATAATAAAAAAACAGCTGGAGGAGCCACCATTGATGGTCGGTTGCCAGGTGCACAACCCACCGAACTCTTGGAGTTAATTTTATCCATGACTAGTCTAAGGTTGTTTCTGCTTTTTTTGATAGGAACATTTTCAATTGAGCAAGAAACTGTTTGTGCAGTGATACATGTTCCTGGGTCCACGTTCCTCTTTCTGAGTCATCCTGGGTGGGTCTGGCCTCGAGCTATTCGGGACTTTGGAAGGAATCCTGAGTTTGCGGGGAAGTGATTTACCTTCATGCAAGGGGATGTAGGAATCCAGGTCCCCAAAGATGTGGCTCAATTCCTCTTCGGACATGATGGACAGCTTCAGCATGGGGTCATGGTAAGCCTGGGGAGAGAGAGAGAGAAAGAGAGAGAGAGAGAGAGAGAGAGAGAGAAGGAGGGAGGGAGGATTACCTTCTTAGCTGAAAGTTGGATTTTAAAAAAAGCACAAGAAAGAATGTTTTTTTTTTTTTTGAGCCAACTCAGGAAACTCAAACTGCCCAAGGAGTTGCTGATCCAGTTCTACAGAGGAACTATCGAGTCTGTCATCTGCACCTCTATCACTGTCTGGTTTGGCTCTGCAACCCAACAGGACAGACACAGACTCCAGAGGATAATTAGGACCGCAGGAAAAACAATTACTGCCAACCTGCCTTCCATGGAGGACCTGTATCCTGCAGGAGTCAAAAAGAGGGCTGTGAAAATATCTACAGACCCCTCACATCCTGGACATAAACTGCTTCAACTCCCACCCTAAAAACGACACTATAGAGCATTGCACACCAGAAGAACTAGACACAAGGACAGTTTTTTCCCGAACGCCATCCCTCTGCTAAACAAATAATTCCCTCAACGCTGTCCAACTATTTACAAAATCTGCACTACTATTACTATTAATCTTCTCATCCCTCCTTATCACCCATCCCCTCCCACTTGTGACTGTAGGACTGTAACTTTGTGGCTTGTATCCTTATGATTTATATTGTCTCCTGGTATGATTTGATTGCTTATTGTACCCTATGACTATTATTAAGTGTTGGACCTGATGATTCTTGACTCTTGACGGATGTCTCTTTCCTTTTATGTCCGCTGAGAGCATTTGCACCAAGACAAATTCCTTGTGTGTCCAACCACCCTTGGCCAACAAAGAATGCTAATTCTTTATTCTAATTCTAATAAAGGGGAACGCTTGGATCTCCAGCTGGGAAACTTCCGATGGAAATAATAGAGAGGTGTCTCTCAACCGTGCCAGCTTCAAGATGGGTGGACTTACGACGGTTGCCGGAACCCCGGGGCTTATGTGACCACCATACAGGACTAGTGACAAACAGAGTTAACTGGGGGGGTGGGGAGGTGAGGGGGGGGGGGAAGAGCCAGATTCGTTTAATGACAGCGTGATTTACTCAACAACTACCAGGATTGGTTTCACAACAACCAAAAAAAAGCAGCGAAAAAAATATATATCGTAAAATCAGATTCGCTTAATTGACTGCAGCAAAGAAAAGAAAAGATAAAATCGGCTGTGAATCAATTCATCGCTCTACTTAGCAGGGGGAATTCTGCTCCCCCTTGCGGTCCCAAGTCGAGGACTCGCTGTAGAGTCAACAGCCTCTCTCGCTGCTATTTGGAAGAGGAAGAGGAGGAGGGGGAGGAGGAGGAAGGCCGAGTTGTGGGAGGAAAAAAAAAACAGGTTTAATCGGCTGCTTGGGAATCTCTGACGGAAGTGAGTCACCTGCAAGGTTATCGGTCCAAGTCAACAGAGCAGGGAGAAAGACCCCTACCTTTCTGGCAAGCTTCAGGTCCTCAATCAAGTCCTGCTCTCCCCGAGAGAGTTCGTAGATCGCCTGCAAGCGGAAGGAAAACGGAAGGCCGAATTATAACAAGCGCCGCCGCCGCCGCCGCCGCCACCTTTGGAAGAATTCACAAACCGCTACGTTTCTTTTCAGTTCTTTGTTAAGACTGCGAAGCTGCTTTCTGTCAAGCCCCGAGAGCCACAAATGGGGTTACTTTCTGGGTGTAGAAACAGAATCGTGGAGTTGGAAAGGACCTCGGAGGTCTTCTAGTCCAACCCCTTTGCTCAGGCAGGAGACCCCCCGAAACCGTTTCGGACCAATAGCTTGTCCAGTCTCTTCTTGAAAACCTCCAGGGGTGGAGCGCCCACAACTTTGGGAGGCAAGGGGTTCCCTGGATTGATTGTTCTGTCAATTAAAATGTCTTCTTATTTTTATATTTCTTTCCTTGATTCCGTTCCCGGACTCTTATTCTGCCTATCGGAGAAATAGGCTGAACTCCCCACTCTTCTTTGGGGCAGTCCCTCAAATATTAGAGGTAGGCTTTTATGAGTAAGACGGGACTAGAACTCACCGTCTCCTGGTGATTCGCCCAAAGTCACCCAATTGGCTTCCATGCCAAAGGCAGAACTAGAACTCACTGTCACCTGATGATTAGCCCAAATCACCCAAGGCAGAACTAGAACTCACTATCTCCTGGTCATTGGCTCAGTCACCCAGTTGCTTTTCATGCCTAAGGCAGAACTAGAACTCACCGTCTCCTGGTCATTGGCTCAAAGTCACCCAGTTGCTTTTCATGCCTAAGGCAGGACTAGAACTGACCGTCACCTGGTGATTCGCCCAAATCACCCAGTTGGCTTTCATACCCAAGGCAGAACTAGAACTCACTGTCACCTGATTAGTCCAAATCACCCAGTTGGCTTTCACACCCAAGGCAGAACTAGAACTCACTATCTCCTGGTCAGTGGCTCAAAGTCACCCAGTTGCTTTTCATGCCAAAGGCGGAACTAGAACTCACCGTCACCTGGTCAGTGGCTCAAAGTCACCCAGTTGCTTTTCATGCCTAAGGCAGAACTAGAACTCACCGTCACCTGATGATTAGCCTAAATCACCCAGTTAGCTTTCATACCCAAGGCAGAACTAGAACTCACTATGTCCTGGTCATTGGCTCAAAGTCACCCAGTTGCTTTTCATGCCAAAGGAGGAACTAGAACTCACCGTCACCTGATGATTAGCCCAAATCACCCAGTTGGCTTTCACGCCCAAGGCAGAACGAGAACTCCCCACCTCCTGCTGATTGGTCCAAAGTCACCCAATTGGCTTCCATGCCTACTAAGGCAGAACTAGAACTCACCCTCGCCTGGTTTCTAACCCGATTCCTTCACACTAGACCAAACTGGCTCTCTGAATTACTTAGCAGCACGAAATTACCATCCTCTGCAGATGAGAACATCTCAGTCAAGACACAGGATGCCATGCCTTGGGGGCGGTGGTGGAAGGATATGCAGAAATACTACCACTTACTGACCGGAGCTCCACTCCTTAAGCCGCCTTCTTGCCCTCCAATAAAAATGCTTCTTGTTCGTTTTTCGGACAGCATCCTAAACGTGTCGTCCGTGAACCCAGGAGTACCTGTGGCTCAAGAGCCCAGCCTCACCTCTTGGCGTTTGATTTCCTTGGCGCTCAACGTCTCCTTCATTGTGACATCCAACGTCTCGGACCAGAGGACACTGTTCCTTCTTTTGGGAGGGGTGGGGGCCGTTAACCGGCCACAGGGCTTCTGACCACTCGCTGGGGATTTGGTGTCGCCGCGAAGGGAGAACGACTGGAGGGAAGAGATGAGGTAAGGAGGGCGGAAAAAAAATGGTCCGTTAGCATCGATGGGCGTGAGAAATTCCATTTTATTGTCAACCTTTTGCGTTCTGTGCTACCTGCAGGGGCGGTTTCGGTTCCTGTCCGAACAATCCCCACCTGGGCAGGTAAAGATAGATGGGACAGGACAGGGGGAAACCTCAGCCCTGCCCCATTTTCAGATTGCTTTGAAAACAACGGCACAGTTTCTCGAACCAAACGTAATCCATCCTAGGTGTAGTCAATTGGATCCCGGTTCAGGAACAGTGTCTGTGTGGGACTCACTACGGGTCACTTTAGAGAAAGTTAGGATGGACACCTCCTCCCCTAAAAGATACATAAAGGTAGTCCTCAACTTAAGCTCCCCATTGAGCCCAACATTTATGCTGTTAAGTGAGAAATGTGTTAAGTGAATTTTGCCCACTTTTCTTAACACATTTGCTAAGTGAATCTTCTGCAGTTGTTAAATGAGTGAAGCCCGCTTGCTAAGTGAATCTGACTTCCCCGTGGATTTTTTTTTATTATTATAAAATTTTATTTAGTTTTCAAAATGTAAAAGCATAAAATAAAATTTTATACATTATTATATCGACATCAAGACATCTTTTACATTTCCTTATCATCTTTCTATGTACACATTTCTTTCATTATACAATTTCAGCGAAATATATAAATAAATATAGCTATGAATATAGATATAAGTATTCATATAGTTTCTTATTCTTTACCTAATTGTCATTTTGATTTCTTTTTATTCTTAAACCATTCATACCAGGCATCCCAGACATTATAATAATATATCGACTCTTCTTTGTCTCTTAATTTCATTGTTAGCCTGTCCATCTCTGCACAGTCAATTTTTTTTTTTATAACAACAACCTCTGATGGTACATTTTATGGCATCTTCCTCCTGCTAGACTAGCAAAAATGTTCAATCTAAGCCCAAGCTGTTGGAAGTGTAAAAAGGAAAAAAGGTACGTATTTTCATATGTGGTGGACCTGCCCAGAAATCAAAAAATATTGGAATGTAATTCAATTGTGGCTAGAAGAAATAACAAAACAGAAAACTGAGCCTAAACCAGGATTTCCCAGTGGATTTCGCCTGTCCGAAGGTCGCAAAAGGGGATCGTGTGACCACCAGGGACACTGCAGCCGTCATAAGTGTGAGCCGGGTTGTGTGAACTTTGATCACTTGAGTATCAGGGTGCTGCCACAGTTGGGTGAAAATTGGTCCTCAGTCCCTTTTTTCAGCACCGTTGTTAAGTTTGAATGGTCGCTAAACGGGTGTTGTAAGTTGAAGGCCACCTGTATCAGCAATAACGTCCTAGCAATGCTCGGTAGTGATTGCCTCTAGGGCAGGCCTCTCCAAAATGGGCCACATTTAAGACTCGTGGGACTTCAACTCCCAGAATTCCCCAGCCAGGAACTCTGGGAGTTGAAGTCCACAAGCCTGAAAGTGGCCACGTTTAGAGACCACTATTCTAGAGAAAGCAGGTTGGACACCTTACACAAAATCAGAAGAAACTTTCTGACAGTGAGAACCATCAACCCATGGAAGAGAAGTTGCCTTTGGAAGTTGTGGGAGCTTCATCCCTGGAGGCTTTCAAGAAGAGACTGGACTGGCATCTGTCAGAAATGGTGCAGAGCCTCCTGCCTGGGCAGGGGGTTGGACTAGATGACCTACAGGCTCCCTTCCAACTCTGATTATCTGTTAAAAGGTTCTGCTGAAGATACATCCCTGTGGTGGACAACCAAGTTGCAATCCCTGTGACAATATGTCACAGGTGGTTTTCCAGTCTCCACGCAGGTAGCAACCAAATGCGCCCACATTTCTCCCTCTGGGCCTGGCCCAACGTGAGGTTGGCCTGGACTTTTGATGCCTTTAGGCCAGTGGTGGTTATTCTACCGGTTCGGCCCAGTTTGACTGAACTGGTAGCTCTGACGATCAGCTGCTGGGCCTCCCCACCGGCCCTAGCTCTATTCTGATCTTTATTTCCTGGTTTTGAAGCTCAGCTGCTTCGCACAGCAAAGCGAATAGCCACCCTTCAGGCGTGGAAGAGACAGGGAGGGTGCAGGATTGCAGGAGGAGATCAGTAGCAAAAAACCCTCTGCGCGCGCACAAAGCCCACGGAATCGGTGGGAGCAGAATTGGAAAAACCACCACTGGGTTAAACCTACAAAAGGGATGCAGCCGGAGGGGAACCGACGTTCCGTGACTCTCATCTACTCCTTGCAAATACTGGAGTTTTATTTTCCCCCTCCAGTTCTGCACGGAACGGTGGCCCAAAGAATTCGAAACCAGCGGTGTTTATAGGAAGGCGGAAATCCCCGTTTGCTTCTCCGATGCTCCTGAAAACCTAATCTTCCAAAACAGACCGACGATATTCCGGAACATTTTTTTTTTCCCCAAAAAAACTTGGCCGCTCTACCAGGTTTTGGTGCAGGGGAGGGCAGCCTGCGATGCTCTGGGCGGTTGTTTGTGGTGCATTTTGTTCCAACACATTGAGGATTTTTTTAAAAAAAAAGAAAAAAAAATGGGCATTGTTCTTCTATTTTTAAGTGCAAGCTGCTCAAGTCGGAACGGGCGGCTTCGAAGCCAATAAACAAACCCACATCCTCAACTTGGCTTTGGTTCTTCCTCCCCTCTTCAAAAAGATGCCATGAGGGATTTAGGAAGCTTCCCTTAACGGGGAAACGTCCCGGCACGGGGGAGATGGGCACCCAAAAGTCCTGTCTGGATCCAGAAGATCCTTCAACCACCCACTCGTCTTCTCCCCGTTCCTGGGCCCACCTACCTGTATGGTCTGCCCGAAGCGACGCACTGCACCATTTCGTACAGGCGAAATCAGGTTTGCCAAGGAAGTGACACGGGCCAGAGATCGGACACGTTTATTACTAGGCTCCTGCAAAGAGATAAAAGGAGAGAACACGTTGTACCACTGGTTTACTCAGGATTTAAGAGTGCTGGGGGGTGGGTGGGGGGGAGGAGAGTGCAACATCAAATACCGTTGGCCGTTTCTTCAAGGCACCCTGACCCAAAGCACAGGGGGCCCTTTAAAAGAAATTTATATATTCCTTCCTTCCTCTTTCTCTCTTTCTTTTTCCTCTCTTCCTCCCTTCTCCTTCTCCCTCTCCTTCTCTCCTGACTTCCTTCCCTCCTTCTCTCCTGCCTGCCTCCCTTCCCTTCTCCTTCCTTCCTTCTTCCTCTTCCCTTCCTTCTTTCTCTCCCTTTCTTCTTCCTTCCCTCCTCCTCTCGCCCTGCTTCCTCCCTCTCTCCTTCCTTCCCTCCCTCCCTTCTCCGTCTCCCCCTTCCTTACCCCTCCTCTCCTTCTTTCTCTCTCTCCTCCTTCCGTCTCTCCCTCCCTCCTTTCCTTCCTTCCTATATACAAACACATACCCAAGAGACCATTAATCAGTGGAAAGACTTTATCTCCCTTAATTATGGGTGAGGCATCACTGAAGGTTTTAAAAAAGAGACTGGACAGCCATCTGTCCGGAATGGTATAAGGTCTTCTCATTGGGCAAGGGGTTGGACTAGAAGACCTCCAAAGTCCCTTCCAACTCTGTTATTCTGTTATACACACAGCCACCCATTCATGTATCCATGCTTCTATCGCTATCCATCCACTCACCTCCCTTTCTCGCCCCCTGTGACACATACACACTCCATCTGTGTTTCTATCTCTATCCATTCATCTCTCTCTCCCTCTCCTTCTCTCTCTTTCTCATTTTAAACCAGTCATCCCTCTCTCTCTCTCTCTCTCTCTGCATATTTTTAAGCAATGGCCTTAGAAGCAAACAAGAAGCAACGCTTCTTGGTCTGTTAACCAAAATAACAACGTCCACAGGAGCGAGGAGGAAGGAGGAGGATTATTTCAGGCTACAGGTTTCCAACTTCTTCCTGAAGCTTCGTGACGCGTGTAAGTTTTCAAACTACGCTGCCTTTAGGCAAATATTGGAGAATTGATAACATCCACACACCGCAATACTTCTAGGTATGTGGCAAACAAAACAGGTTGCAGGAAATCGTCGAAGGCACTTGGAAGGAGATGGGAAAAACAGCAGAAAATACGTTTCCCCCTGTAGGGAAATAATGCCCTGCGTAAAAAAAATGAAGGAATATGGGTCATCCTCGACTTACAACCGTTCATTTAGGGACCGAAGTTACAACGGCGCTGAAAAAAGGGACTTGTGACCTCGTCTCACACACACGCACATGATCCTTGCAGACTTCCCTTGCGGTCACGCGATCACGCTTCGGACGCCGGCATGCCCTTACGGCGGTTCGCAACGCGGCGATTCGCTGAGCAAACGGCGGTGCGAAAGAAGGGCGGCCAAAACGGGGCAAAAACGTGACTCGGCCCGCCGCCTCGCTTAGCCACCCAACGTTTAGGGCTCGACTCTCGACGTTAAATCGAGGGCTCCCTTCGAGTTCCCAAAGGCGCAAAAAAATAAAAAATAAAGATAAGATGGAAGGACGGAAGGCAAGTGGCACAAGAAGAAAGCCGAACCTTAGAAAAAACGGACGAGAATCCAACGGCCAAGCAAAAGAAAGAAACTCAAACCGCCCGTTATATCATATCGGAGGAGGAAGCTTTACTCCAGGGAAAGTGTTTTCTCTCGCGGTGCCCTTGAGAATCTAATCTGGGTTATTTTATTTTTCTCACCCCCCTTTCGATCTGGTTCTCCTTTTGATTATATTTCCTGGTCCCAGACTCCAACTCCTTTCCCCGTTTCGATTACAAAACCTTGCTAATCTGTGAGTAACCTTTGAGTTTCCGCTTGCACCGAGGTGGCAAGGACACGAGAGCGCCCCGGTCCCTGCCTCCCAAGATGGTTTCGAGAACAACAGCCCCGAGAGGCAGGCCGGGCTAAAGGCAACGATCCTGGCCCAAACAAACCTGGTTGGGGATACAGGCCTGACCTTGGTTCTCCTTCTGTACCGCTAGTCCTCGGCGTACAACCACAATTGACCCCCTGATATTTATCGAGAACTTTGTGAAGTTGAGTTTCGCCCCCTTTTCACGACTTTCCTTGCCACCGTCGTTAAGCGAACCGCTGCAGCTGTTAAGGGAAGCTGGCTTCCCCCCCCCCCCCCCCATTGACTTGTCGGAAGGTCGCAGAAGGGGACCCCCCCGAGATCCCCGGAGACTCCGGCTGTCGTAAATGTGAGTCGGTTGCTGACTGTCTGAATGGTGACCATGAGGTTGCGGCCACCGGTTGTAAGTGTGAAAAAAAAAACAACAACGGTCACCGAGTCACTTTTTTCTGGGTCGTGCTGACTTTGAACGGTCGCTAAATGAACGGCTGTACATCGAGACTCCCTGTAATCCTTCCCTGCACGGATATCTCGGCAGCGGTAAGGAATATTGTGTGCTTTTGTGCTGCTCCCCGTGGGCGTGGGTTGCGTTACTGCACGCTATCTTTGTTTGACTTCGCCACAAGACGGGTGGCGTCAGATAAGAGGGAGCTCAAAAACAAGCCAAAGCTTTCTTCAGTTGGGTTCCTCACACACACACACACACACACACCGGTTACAAGCATCGTGCCCAGGCAGTTTGCAAACCATAGTTTACGACAGGAGGATGGGGCGGGAAGGTGGCCAATGACAGGTTCTTCAATCAGGGGGTACGAAGCAAAATCTCGGTGGAGCAGACTGGGTGAAACACCACAGGGTGTGTGTGTGTGTGTGTGTGTGTGTGTTGTTTGATTTTTCTTCACAGCTTATGCACAGCTTGTGGACTTCTAGAAACCTCCCAAATTTCTCTCCTCCAGAGCCCAGAAGGGGGGATGGGATGCCAGCATCCACAGTTGATGGGGGAGGGTGGGCTTTCTGCCTCCCTTCCCTATTCCCTCCCTCCTTCTTTCCTCCTCTCCCCTTCCTTCCATCCATCCATCCCACGTTCCCGTCTCCCTCTATATCTTTGCTTCCTTCTCTCCCCGCTCTCCCTCCCTCTCTTCCTTCTTTCCTCCCCTTCCTTCCTTCTCTCCCTTATTCTCTATTCTTCCTTTCCTTCTCTCTCTCCTCCCCTTCCTTGTCACTCCCTTTCCTTCCTTCCTCCTCTCTCTCTTTTCCTTTCTCCTGTCTCTTCCTTCTCTCTCTTCCTTTCGTTTTCTCTTCCTCTTTCCTTTCTTCCTCCTCTCCCTCCTTCCTTCTCTCCCTCTTCTTCCTTCTCTATTCTTCCTTCCTTCCTCCTTTTCGTTTTCTCTCCCTCTTTCCTTTCTTCCTTC